TTTGCGGCTGTGGATGTCAGTCACCGGGTACCGGTCGGTAATTACCCACTGGCGCCCAGTGATTACCGAGCATCTCCGACAGGGAGGAAGATTGTTTAGTTTCCAAACAATCTTCCTCCCTGTCAGCTCGAGCACACTGCTCGGGATGGCTGTGCACAGTACAGCCATCCTGATTAGTGTGCTTACAGTGAAGAACACACCCCCCACCCCTACGTAAAACACTCTCAGCACACAGTTTACCCTTTGATCGCCCTTCACATTATCCCCTTCCTGCAAGTTAGTTCCCCCACAGTGTTAGAATGTCCTCCGCAGTCCCGCTAAAGGTCGCTGATCCTACTAGTAGGAAAAAAAAAATCCCATTATCTATACCGCCATTTGTAAACACTATAACTTTCATGTAAACCAATTAAATTATACGTATTGGGATTTTTTTTTAGCAAAGACGTTGCAGAATACAATTTGGCCTAAATTTATGATGAAGTTTGATTTTTACAATTTTTTTTTCTGGACATGTTTAATAGCAAACAGTCCAAAATATTGTTTTTCTCTGAAAATTGTCAGGTTTTTTTTTGCTTACAGCACAAAAAAATAAAAATTGCACAGGAGATTCAAATACCAACAAAAGAAAGCTCAATTCGAGGGAAAAAAAGGACTTAAATTTAATTTAGGCGCAGCATTGCATGACCACGCAATTGTCAGTTAAAGTAAGACAGCGCCGTAATGCAAAAAATGGCCTGGTCATGAAGGGGGTAAAGTGGTCAATGATCAATCTGTCAATGCTACATTTAGGGAGGTGCAAAATATGTAATAAAATATAATCCCACCATCCGTGTTTTGATTTAGTAGTTACTAAAACAAAAAATGCAGGAAATCTTTGCAATGAAACATAGATAGAATTACATTTCTGTTAGAAATGTTTTAATCTTTCCCCACTCTATCCAAAATAAAAAAAAAATGTTCTGGTATGAATTTCACTTTAAGATGCAATGTTTGAAAAACATGGCAACTAAATGAGCGGATCAAACTAAACAAGCTGAACATGTTTTATGAACCTCAGGCGGAGACCGGTTCATTTGCTATAAGCCAATGAAAAGTGTCTATCTGGCAATTCAAGGATGGCCATAGATGGTCAAAAGGAAATAAAGCACTGAAGGAGCAGAGGAATGAAACAGGTTTTATCCAGAGAAGATGTTGCAAGATGTACAATTGTAAGCACTGGGTGTATTTATAGTGATGCAATAGTCTGGGTGTGGTTGTCATGTGAAAGTTTTTTCTACTCCTTATTAGCAGAGATGCACTTTAATTTATGCAAGTTATCTTATTCCTTGTTATGAGCTAGGAGTCAATGATCCTACATCCCTTATTTATATTTTCATAAAGGAAAGTCTGCAACTTATTCAATGCAGTGTGGATTGGCAATTCATCAACCTACCAATCAGATCTGACCTATAAAACTATCCACACATGCTGTGAAGTTCTTCAAACTCATATACTGTATCACAATTAAATCTCAAAAATAAGTAGACTTGAAGTCAGTGACAGTGGCATTTTGACATGTGCAGGCCAATAAACAGGTCAACTGTAATGTACAGTGCTGAGCGAACCATTGGCGCTTTATAAATACTGTATAATAATAATAACTGTGCAAGCAAATTTGTGGATTGTATATCTGCTCCATGATTTCCTCATGGCTAATGCTGAATTGTCAGTGTTGCATGGTATTTTCTACAGTCAGAAAAAAAAATCTCTGATACCTGAATATTATTTTCTATGGGATCCAATGGCCCTGCTCATTTGAAACCAAAGAATCTCCTAGATTGTAAGCTCCAAGGAGATGGGCCCTCGAACCCCTCAAGTATTGTATTGTTACTGTATTGTCTCATGTACTGTCCCCCACTATAATGTATAGCGCTGAGCAAACTTTTTGGCGCTATATAAATACTGTATAATAATAATAATTATACTGCTAAATGATCCCCCAAATCTACGTAGTATTTAGCACCCAGGGGCGGACTGATCATTCGAGTACCCGGGCACTGCCCGAGGGCCCGGGGTCAGTAGGGGGCCCCATGAAATGCCCCTGGTACCTTTTATAGGCTTTTTTGGGTGTGCTTTGAGTGTGGGCAAGGACACAGGGGCCCCATGATCCCCTATTGCCCAGGGGCCCCATGAGTTGTCAGTCCGCCCCTGTTAGCACCTGTTCAGGGATTGCCCTATAATTGCTCATCTCAGTCTAGGTAAACAGAAGATTAGCAAAAAAATCCTTCCCACCACAGTTCCTAATGCTAATCTAATGCCACAATTGGCTCATACCAATTTTCCAGTACAGTTGTTTGTATATATATCTATGTATGTATTTAGTAAGGAAGGTATATTTTTTAAGATGGAGTATTTTGACAATATATCTATGTACAGGGGCGGACTGACAACTCATGGGGCCCCCGGGCAATAGGGGATCATGGGGCCCCTGTGTCCTTGCCCAAACTCAAAAAAGCCTATGAAAAAGGTACCAGGGGCATCTCATGGGGCCCCCTACTGACCCCAGGCCCTCGGGCAGTGCCCTAGTTTCCAAATGGTCAGTCCTCCCCTGTCTATGTATGTATTTAGTAAGGAAGGTGTATTTTGTAAGAAGGATGTGATGCATCCTTAACTAGAATTAAAAGAAAACATGTTTTGTGGTCTACCTAATTAGATGCCATGGCTTATTTTTCCTTACAAGTATAGTTTCTAAGTTGTTATGCTGATCTAAGTTTTAATACTTTCTAATGACTGACCTAAAACAGTATGCAGATCTGAAGTTCTTCTCTTTACTCTGACTTTATTTCTTGAAACCCCTATTTTGGATCAATGACTCAGAATGCATTAAAAGAAGAAGGTAACTAGCATTTTCTGAATTGGGAAAGCAATAGTAGCCAACATATTTCTTTCAATAGATGTTTTACTTATAGATGAATTTCATGCAGACATGAAATACCACCTATCAATCCAGTTGTAAATTTATAAAAAAAAGTCACTAAATGCATTGCACAGACAGTTAGCAGAATCATTGAATTTGTGCTACATTCCCACAAAACCCTAAACAGTGAGCAGAGTGATCGGTGAGGTGATGCTCCTCCAACAGCCAATCAGCTGGCTGGGAATCAGCTATACTGTTTAAATAAGTTGCAAAGAAAATAAGGTCACCAACTTCATGCTATTGTCTGAAAAGGTTGTATGAATTACAAGAGTGTCTGGGTAGATAGGACAGTGAACCTATGTGGTTGTTGGAAGTGCTTCTCCTGTGTCCTTTTGGATTTGTATGGTTATATGTTTGGAGCTTACAATGATTTTTCACAACTATGCACATGCAGTAATGCATTGTTATAGTTTCTCATTGTGTGTATTTTGCACAGTTACGTCTGTAATACTGGTAATATTGTATATTTAGTATTAAACCCAAACCCAAAGATGCAACTTACCACTCATTATATGTAGTGACTGCATTAGTTTTCTTTTTTAGGCTTTTCCCGGTTTTCACCTGGTTATCTGGCCAGTAACATAGCTCCTGTATTAGAGTGCCTCCACTCTGGACAAAGGAGTAATGCGGCAGCATTGGACAGCAGCATTGTTAACTTGGGGGAGGGGAGTATTTGATTTAATAGCAGATTTAGACACTAACAAATTGAAGCTGAACTCCAGGTAACACTTTATAAGCAGTTACAGCTTTTGGGATAAATGTTTTACATAAATAAAGAAAAGCTGATCACTGTAAACACCCCAGTAGAAAATGGTTCATCTTGACCCTCTAACTCCTAAATCTGCTGGTCAGATTGTTCTGCTGAAAAACGTACAGGCCAGATCACGGGGCAAAGGAAAGAAAGTCTAAATAAGAAATCTAATGCAGCCATCACATATAAGAATTAATGTTTGCTTTTGGGTTTAATACCACTTTAAAATGTGCAAAACATTTCACCTGACATAAACTGTACGAGTCCTTTGGACTGACTTATTTGGTAACTACAGCCCCAGAGGTAATGTAAATGCCCCCCCAGGGTTGTTACTAAAAACTTTTGCAAATTAATTTATAAGCCACTATAGTGAACTTGTAAGGGTTCTTCCAGACCTCTTTACAATTTCACCTTGTGGGGAACATATCAAAGATATGTTGTATATTTTTTTTTATTAAAATCCAGTGGAGTAAATATAAAAGACACTGGCTGTTAGTATAATACCAGAGTAATCTGAGTCTGCATTATATCTGGGTTTCCCATAGTGACCTCGTAAAGGGATCATAGAACTGTTTTTTACCAGTTTACTTTACAAGGGAAGGCAACAAATCTGCATTTTGAATCTGTTAAAACCATTAACCATTGGCTCAATGGTTCTTTTGCACCTTACAGTGTTTTTCGATTTGGTCAATAAAGCGTGCTATAGAAAATTACCTTTAAATGTTCCTGTGGCTTTTTGTATTAACTTGAGTTCTACCTGTAGAAAGTCACAGAGGGACAAGAAAAGCGAAGAATAATGTGCAAAGTACAAAAATAATAACAACTACTCAAGACAAAGTTTTCATTGTTCTATCAGCACTAAACATATAAAAGGAGAAATATATATTTTTTATCATGGAATAATATCAGTATTCTATAAGAACAAAGAAATTCTATAAGAACAAAGAAAATTGTATAAACAAACGTGATTTTTACCTGATTCTATTTTCAATGATTTTCTGCAATTTTCCAATGGAAATGTAATGTATAAATACTGGATGGATAAATGAAGTGCTATTGTTCAAACCATAAGTCTGACCTTTGCAGTTTGACAGTTTTAGAATTAGTTGTTTATGTGCTTCATGTAAAAATAAATGTTTTCCATGGCATTTGGTCAAATACACTGCAAACTCTCTAATAAACTCACAAACTCATTCATCAGTTTCAGGCTTTGCGTTGGTGTTCAAACATGATATCATTTTCTGGAATTTCACTTACACAGAGATTCTATATTATTAGCAACACTACTTTTGTATCATCACCTACAAAATATATATGTGAATCACTTATAACCACCCACCTATAGTTTAATAAATGTTCCTGGTGCACTGCATTAGGGAAGCCCATTCATTTGAAACCTTAGAACAGGTGTCTTCAGACTTTATAAACAAAGGGCCAGTTTACTGTCCTTCAGACTTTAGGGAGGCCAGACTGTGGCCATTGGGAATAGAAATTGTACCAGCGTCAGTGGGAGTAAACAGTGCATCTTTGGCATTAGGGGGAGGGATAGTTCACCATCATTGGTATCAGTAAAAGAAATAGTGCCCCATTGTTGATGTCAGTAGTCTTGCATCAGGGGAGGAAAAGAAAAAGGCCCGGATAAAAACAAGCAAAGGGCCACATCTGGCCCCTTGACTGCAGTTTGGAGACCACTGCCTTAGAAGAAGACGTGCACACAGTTTCATACTCTTGGTTGTAAAACTAAACATATATTGACCTTCTCTTGACACGAAGACCTGCTATTGAGACCAGATTGCAAATATCTGGGTGTTAAAATATTGTACACCCATAATGAAAGAAATATGAATGCTGTTACTACTTTCTCCTGAAAGTGCCAGTTTCCTGTTCATGTATGCGCCAAATGGAAGCACAACAGAAGATTTGAATTCCTTACCTTTGTACTTGTTCCATGTCAGCAACTTCAAAAGTACTGAAGGCAAAGCATCGGCTCGACCAATTAAGTAACCCACATTTTTTAAGAAGTCAGTAGTGACAGCTTCTAGCTCTCACACTCCTCTCTCCCCATCCTTGTTTGCCGTTTTATGTGAACAAAGTTTCAGTCAGAAAGAGAGAGTCTGAAAGGAAACATTTTAGAAAAGCCATAGTGCTAAGTGAGTCTGGTGGAGTATATTTTACTAAAGAAATACAAATGTTCAGTTGAAAACACTTGTTTAACTTACTAAATAGGATGTTCTCTTCCAATCCTCTATTATGTCCAAGGGAAGCTAGAAAAAAAACTGGATTGTTTTGACATGATTGGATAAAGGAAGCCGAACAATGTAGATTGTCATCATACTTTCTATATTATCTTATTGCTGCTAAAGTGTCCCAGTGTTTTTTGTTCCACTAGTAATGAGACCTTGACAAGACCAACTAACCAGACCATAGAAGAACGTGCATTTCTTCAATTCCATGATTGCTGGTACTGGTTCCTAATTCTATGGGAATTTACAAAATATCTTGACACTACATTTTTCTAAATACATTGGTGAGAAACTATATTTTAAGCAGATGTATAGTTTATTTTTACACCTCTTATACCAAAAGTATGTAAACCCCAAATTTTTTCTTTAGTATGTTGGCATCATATCTCACTGTATACAGTTTTCGTAAAGCTGAACTCCAGTCAAAAAATTATTTTTTGATACGTGCACTTTTAAAATAAATCCACACTAATGCAGCATGTTCCATGTGTCTAGGCTAAAGCATTATTTACAGCCTTGACTTTCACCCACCCTCCTACAGTGTATGTTACTGATTGTTACAGTTTTGGCTAGAGTACTCAGATCCATTCTATAAAAAAATGTGCATTCTTTTAATTGAATGTAAGGTGCTCTGTAATTGGAGGAGGGATATATGAATGCCAATCTCCCCTTTTCCAATCACAGTGCACCTTGTATACATTGAAAAGAATGAAAAACACCTATTAAAGTGATAAGTTGGAATGCAAGTAACCCACTGTGCTCTGAGTACTCTGGTGCTAACTGCACTATACAGGGTTGAGTGAAAGTAAGAGATGTACATAACACTGCAGCCTAACACACATAGGACACATTTATTCAGGTTGGATTTATTTTTACAGTGTATATCCAAAAAAAAAAAACTTTTGGCTAGAGTGCGGCTTTAAGAAAATAATTTTTAGTGAAGGTGTTGCCAAGTCTTCGCCTGGAGATGCCAAACATGCTGAAAGACAGAGTTTGGATTTACATACACTTTGAACTATATTAAAATAGTGTACGCAAAACCTACAAAGCACTATATAATTTTTTAGCTCTATACTAATAAATAAATAAGCATATAGGGGTAAATTATTAAAAGCACATAGGCTGTTCACATTGAAAGGGAATTTTCCCTTAGCTTGTTTAATGAGGGAAAGCTCTGCTGACTTTCACTATCCAATTATGTGCAAGCAAAAATCCTGCTTTTTAATTTTGCTTGAACATAATTGGGTATTCTTTGCAAAGTGAAATTTCACCACATTCACTAAGCTAGAAATATTCCTAGTGAACAGCCTATTTGCCTTTAGTAAATCAACCCCACTGTAGCCCTGTCACCTATAAATAGCAATTTCCCAAACAAGGACCTTTATGACAGGATCTTTAGGTTTTAATACATTGAAAATTACTTCTGAAAAAGTCATTAATATATTAAAGCTTATATAAGATTGTTGTTGCTTGAGTTTACATACACCTACTGTAAAACAACCTTAAAGCCTATTTCCACTTTTGCTGTCAAATTTGAGAAAAACCCGCTGTATGCTTATTATGTGCTCCCATTTTCTATTTTTATTCATACCTATTAGATGCTTCTAAAGTGTCATGGCTCACTGAACGAAACCAAGCTACTAAACGTTTAACCCTTTGTTAGGTCAAAAAGTTTTCAAATCTAGTTACAATTCATAATGAAGATGTGCCTGCCCAGTAGAGACAGGGTTAATTATGGCACGCACAGCAAACAAAGAGAACTCTGTAGAAACTTTTCTTGCTGGAAGGTCCAGAACAAAGCTTCTAAAAAAGGTAAGCTGCAATTTTCTTTTTGAATTTATGCTATGTGAATAGGGATGTGTAACAAATATAAAGTAGGTGTTATTCTAATGTGGCTGTAAAAGTGAAAATACACTTTAACTGCTTTCCCAACTGCCCTATAGCAGAAATACTGCTACAGGGTGGCAGGGCTGAGCAAAATCACATATATATACGTGATTTTGCATTTCTGGGTAGGGGGCATGAGCGCCCTGCCCACACCGCCATTGGCAGCCTCAGCTGTCGATCCCCGGTTCCCGGCTGGTGATTCCCTGCCAGTAACTGGCGATTGCCGAGCATCACTGACAGGGGAGAGGTCTGTATGTAAACATTACAGATCTCTCCCCTGTCAGCTCCTGCACACTGCATTGTATGACTCTGCATAGCAGAACACAGCAGAACATAGTGAAGCACAAACACAGTACACAGTAAAACAGCACACAGTTAACCCTTTGATCGCCCCAGATGTTAACCCCTTCCTGCCTAGTGTCAATAGTACAGTGTCAGTTCTTTTTATTAGCACTAATCACTGTAATAGTTTCACTGGGGATGTCAGTGACAGTTGGTTAGTTCCCACCCAGTGTCAGAATGCCCACCAAGTCCCGCAGTCCCTCTCTATAACTTGCTGAGCTCCTCCAGTACTAGTATAAAAAAAATCCAGTATATATACTGCCATTTGTAGATGCTATAACTTTCATGTAAACCAATTAATTTGAACATATTGGGATTTTTTTTAGCAAGGACATGTAGCAGAATACATTTTGGCCTAAATTTATGACAAAATTTGATTATTAAAATTTTTTTACTGAACATGTTTAATAGCAAAAAGTAAAATATATTGTTGTTTTTCTCAAAATTGACGGTCTTTTTTTGTTTATAGAGCAAAAAATTAAAAACCGCACAGGTAATCAAAGGCCACCGAAAGAAAGCTCCATTTGTGCAAAAAAAGGACAGAAATTTCTTTTGGGTGCAGTGTTGCATGACTTTTCAATTGTCAGTTAAAGTAACACAGCGCCGGAACGCAAAAAATGGCCTGGTCAGGAAGAGAGTAAAATCTCCTGGAGGGCAAGTGGTTAGAGAAAAACCACTCAATTATAGCAATTGCTAAATGGCATTTTTAAAAATACATGTACAATCACACTGATTAAAAAAAAGTCTATACATACATTGAAATCAGTTAAAGACAATTGCATTTGGGCATCTGCTATAGTACATAGTGGCATTTAGAAGAGTTTATGGAATGTGTGCAACATGAAGCCTTTCTATATATATGTTGGAGTGATTTTTGCAACTGACATCTTGGCTCTGCTTTATTTGATAAGTATTGATTAGTAGTGAACAACTTTTTCCTAGGATTAAAGTTAGGTTAAAGGTTAATATTAGTATTAAAGCACAGTTTTAGTCAAAACATTTCTTAGTTTTGGACAAAGTAGGAATGGGTTATAAGCTCCACTGGGTTTTCATTGCAATTTCTTTAGCCATTAATTTTCCCTCGCGTTGCGTGGTCACAGAGACAGAAAGTGAGCGAAATCCTTTAAACAAAGGGCACAGACAGTAATAAGGATTATTTTCTAAGTAGGAAAGGGCAAGAGTGAGAAACTCTTTCAGATTTGTATTGCTTTTTTTGCAAGATCTACGCACTTTTGTGTGCTTACCAAAAAAGAAAGATGAAATCTCCCTACAGACTGTAATATGGGGAGAACAATGCTATATAGCCATGGGCATGGGTCATAATGGGAGGTGATGGCTTTACTCCTGCAATGTCACTGACCTATCTATAATCCTTTGAAAATGAAAAGAAATGCTGTTAATGTGTTATAAGTTATTTGGAAATTTTTATTCCCAAATGAGGGTATTAATAACTGCCAATGTTAAAGCATCAACTAACTAACTAATGATAATAAATAAAGATAATATTTAAATATACCCAGTTACCTTTTTTGCCATTTATTTCACACTGAATTTAAACCCTAAGCTGTCTTTGTAAATGAAGAGGTTAAAAATGACAAGTAGCATATTTCCTTTGAGAAACTGCCTCCATAAAGATTATATCAGAATCCCTTGTATACGAGTTACGCAAAAGGCACAGTGTATCAGCTGATGAGTACAATGATTGGCACTGGCTGCTGTGTGCCTGAATAGGCTTTTTCTTCCTTTCAAACAGGTTGGGACTGATTTTTGATAGCCAGTTTCAGGCGGGAATCATGAAGTTATTGCACATTTCAGACTGTCAGCCTGGAGATCGTTCTGTTTCTAATTCCCTTCCCTTTCTTCTGCTATCTCCCTCTCATCATTTCATAGGACTGCAAGGTTACAGAAAGGTCTAATCAATTGTCAAACTCTCCT